TAATAATAATAATAATAATAATAATAATAATATTTCTTATTGGCATGCTTTTTATTAAGATATATTAAATAACATATTAGTTATTTTAAGTGAAAATATCCATTCTTCTTTATCTTCTTTCTCCAAATAAAGTGCACATTACGATTTTTAGGTGACCTGTGTGTGTTCTCCAAATTACATTCCCTTCCAGAAAAAGCTAGACTATTTAACAAATATTTTTTAAAAGCCCCCCCCCCAAAATATCCAGAAATCATTACTGTATATAAAAAGCAAGTTAACGGTAAATCTAAACGCAAAACATTAAATCACATTAATGAAACCATCCTATATAATGACATTGAAACAAACAGCTACTATTAGAGATGAACACGAACCGAAACACATTGTTTAACGTTACTGGCATTTCCCTTCAGTTAACGCCTCATTCGTCTATAGTCTCCAGCCGATAAATGATAACTTCATGCACTTCCATCTTTACGTATAAGGGATCAGCTGGTACCGAAGAACGTTGCCGGTACATTGTTTATTTTCTTTTTATGCGCCATGTTTTTTTCAGGGCGTAAGCGATCATGACTCTCCACCTCCCTCTATCCCTTGCAGCTCTCAACATGTTCATTCCCTCTACCACCTCCCCCAAAACACGTTCGGTCATCCACTTGCACAATCCGCTAGGTATATCATGCGTTGTTTTCCTTTGTTTCTCTTTCCCTCTATTCGACCCGTGAGCATCAGATTCTCCAGGCCCTCCTTCCTCATTATGTGTCCCAGAAACTTCAGCTGCCTCTTCCGGATATTAAGTATAGACCCATTCCTTGTTTGCAACCTCTCTAAGACTTCATCCTTGCTCACAGGCTCGGTCCATGATATCCTTAGCATCCTTCTGTAGAACCACATCTCCGTCTCCTCGAGTCTCTTCTTCATCTTTGAGGAGACCGTCCAACATTCGCTGCCGTAAAGAAGGACAGATGTCACTTAGCAGCTCAGTATTCTTTGTTAGCAAAGAAATATTCCTGTCTCATAATACTCTGCCCAGCTTTTGGAATGCGTCCTTGGCCATCCCAATACGTCTACGGATCTCAGTGTCGCACTTACCGACCTCTGTCAGAACGCTTCCCAGATATTTAAACTGCCGAGTTTGCTTGATTCTAGTGACCTCGACCTGCAAATCGCATTTCGGGCTCATC